CCCCTACACGTGAACGCGCCAAACGGAGGGGTAGGGGCAAGTGTAGGGGTAGAAAATAGAATTGGGATTGGGCCTTAGTCTGGTGCCGAGAACCTAGTCCCTAACTCGCTGACTCCAAAAAACCCGAGAGCCTGTTCGATGAACGAATCGAACTTACGGGTTTTCGGACACTGGGTGACTCAAAACAACCTGTTCGATGAACGAATCGGAACTTACGGGTTTTCGGACACTGGGTGACTCAAAAGAACCTGTTCGATGAACCAATCGGAACTTACGGGTTTTCGGACACTGGGTCGGTGAATCAAACGAACGGTTCGCGAACCGATCCCAAGAGCCCTTGCGCCGTTTACTGCGGAAATGCAGTTACGCAGATGAATAGGGTAAACTAAATGCATCTATTGCCGATTATTTATATTTTTATTTATTTATATATATGTATATATATTTATTAAATTTTAGCATATCATAAGTATAATAATTGTGTGATAATGTAAAAAGGGGACCACATCTGCAAAACCCATATTTAAATAAGTCATGTCTTTATTTTTCAGAGCTCTGTTCACCAGTGACTGGAATGTCAAGGGGAAGTGCAAGTACAACATCCCAGGCGTTTCTGTTCATGAAACTGGTGATCGAGTATGCCTATACCCACTCTGTGCGCATCACGGTCAATAACATGGAGAGCCTCCTGGCGGCCGGTGATCAGTTAAACATCCCGGGCATTGTACAGCACTGCAGTGACTTCCTGACTGTCCAGCTCTGCGTCAGTAACTGCATTGGCATTTACAGCACGGCGAACAGCTATTGACTCCCCGAGCTGCGCCAGTCTGCCTTCCACTTTCTCCTGGAAAACTTCACGGATGTCGCCAGCACCTCACAGGAATTCCCGGAGCTCACCCTGCACCAGCTCTGTGAGGTCATTGAGAAGGATGAGCTCAGTGTAGAACAGGAGGAAGTGGTCTTTGACGCCATCCTGCGCTGGATCTTCCATGAGCCTGCCAGCCTCAAGGCCCACATTTCTATGCTGTTGCCTAAGGTGACTATAATTATGCAATGTTCTCACTGACATGTGGACATAAGAATAGAACGCTGATTTAGTGAATTCCCCAATCCTCGTTGCTGTAGCTAGAGACTAAACCTCCATTTCCATGTTCCGTAAGTCTACAACTTCGACTTCCAAGTATTACAACTGGCAGTGCAGTCTAACAAACAAATTAACAGAAAGTGCGACATACTCAAATGTCTTACATTAAGCAAGCGTTAACTCACATATCAGGAACTTTCAAAGCAAATGACTTCAGCTAAAGCATTTTGAAAATGAGAAATAAAAATTTGGACTTGCTGTTGTACCCTTTATGTTAAGAGTTGCTCTTTTCCAGTGATACTTAAAAAAGCACCAAGAAACTCATGGGATCTCTATCCATCTGGTTTCCTTTGTAGGTGTGAATGGCTCGCATGGACGGAAAATACATCAAGTATGTGATGAACCATGACCTAGTGAAGGGCAATGAGGAGTTCAGGCCCATTATTAATGACACTTTGAAGGTCATGGACCTGGACATTAATGGTCCCCCACAATCGGACTTTGAGCACCCGCTGGTCCGCCCACGCCTGCCCGCTGACATCTTGCTGGCCATTGGTGGCTGGAATGACCGGCCAAGCAATGTGATCGAGGCGTATGATTCGAGAGCCGACCGCTGGGTAAATGTGACGCAGCAGGGTGACAAACCCCGGGCCCACCATGGCATGGTGTACCTCAAGGGGTTTGTATACTGCATC